ACAAGGTCGGCAATTCAAACCCATCAGCTGCTCCTTGGAAACCCTATACAAGGTTGATAGGAGTTGGAACTGACTTGTTGTTGGCACATCATTCTCCCCAGGGAGTCTTGGTGTGGTGCTGTGGGATAAGCACTGTACTACTAATCCTATAGAGTCCTAGTGTGGCGCTGTGGGTTAACGCGCCAGACTGCAAAGCTGTTTAAACTGCAAGATCGGCAGTTCAAGCTTACTAGTCATTCCTTGGAAACCCCATACAGGGTCGCTATGGGTTGGAACTGACTCAACGGCACTTAACAACAACAGCTAATCCTATACAGGGTTGCTATTGAGTTGGAACCAACTCGACAGCATTTAACAGTTCTCCTCAGGTGTGGCATTGTACGATAAGCACTGGATTGCTAACCACAAGGTCAGCAATTCAAACCCACCAGCTGCCCCTCAGAAATCCTGTATGAGTCAGAACTGACTTGAGCACTTAACAACAAAAACAATAATTTTTCCTAGAAGAGTCGTAGTGTGGCGCTATAAGATAAGAACTGGACTGCTAACAGCAAGGTCGGCCGGCTGTTCAAATTCCCCAAGTAGCTCTTTAGAAACCTTGGAATTGACAACATACTTCTCCATATTATTCCAGTTTATGGTCATCTCTCCTCTAATTCCATGGCAAATAGTACTCTAACATATAATAATTAATTTTTTTAATAGTTGTTAACATTAAAAGTGTTTTTGTGTGTGCACATACAGAAAAGTGTACAAAATAAAAACCAAGGAACAGTTCAATGAATTATTCCAAGGTGAATATCCAAGAAACTCATCCTAGATTCAGACACAGAAAATTACATGCTGTTCAGTTGCAGTGTGTCATAGCAGGGTGAGTTTCCAAGACTGTAAATCTTTACAAGAACAGACAGTCAGGTGGTGTCTTCATTGGAACTGCTGGTGGGTTCAAACTACTCATCAACTGGTCGGCAGCTAAATGCTTGGTACCATGGTACCACCAGGTTAACAACAACTGCTACTATTGTTAAGTGCTGTCGAGTCGGTTCCAACTCATAGTGACCCTGTTCAGGGTTTCTGAGGAGTGGCTGTTGAGTTTGAACCATCAACCTTACAGTTCAAACTGACCTTGCAGTCGAGTATTTATTCTATAGCATCACATCAAGTACTCCAGGATTCAGAAAACTGTTAGTACCCAGAAATCTCCTCATGCTCCTTTCTAATCACAAACCTCTTCTCCCACACAATAGTAACCAGACAATTCATTTCTATCCATTTTGCTGTTGATGGGTGTTTAGGATTTCTTAGCATTTAAAAAGCCAACATGGAGTAAATCATTCCTATTCCAAACTGACACGAACCAAATAACTTTTTCTTTCAATATACTCTTCTTGTACAGCGAATATTTCCTGGGCACTACATAAATATTTCATAACAAGCATTTATACCTAATCTTCAGTTCTACTCTGACATTCAATTTTGTGTTTGTATTTATTTGCCTTTTATAAAACCAGAGCCTTATCAACTTTCTTGGCTGTTTTGAATTGTGTTCTCCAAAATTATGTGTCAACTTATCTGGGCCATGATTTTTAGTGGTTTGGCAGTTATGTAATGATGCAATATGGCAGATAAGTGATGATTCCTCATGATGTGATCTACCAATAAGATAAGGTGCACACCCTTAATCTCATCATACTCCTGATATGATGTAAGGGACGTTTTCCTGGGATGTGGCCTACAACACATTTTATCTTACAAGAGATGAAAGGAGAGAGAAAGGGGGACTTACTACCACCAAGAAAGAAGAGCTACGAGCAGAGTGCATCCTTTAGACACAGGGTTCCTGTGCTGTAAACCTCCTAGATCCAGGGTAAGATTAATGTCAAGACATATAAAGTTCTCAGGGATGCTGGGCCCACAGATGTTGAAAGTACACAAGGAATTTCCCCAGAGCTGACAAACAGTGAAAGCTTTCCCTAGTGCTAGCACTATGAATTTGGACTTCTAGCCTCCTAAACTGTAAGAAAATAAATTTGTTTGTTAAAGCCATCCACTTGTGGTATTTCTGTTATAGTAGCACTAGATACCTAAGACACCAGTAATTAGGAAACTATACTGTGGGAAAAAATTTAAATATATCTATGTCTGGGCCAAGTATATCTGGACATGTCTCTAATATTAGTTAACAACAAAATCACAGGATATAACAGGTCTTGTAAGTTCTGTTCAAGATGGTAAATTTGACATGGGGGCGAAAAAAAGGGGAAAGTAGTAAAAAAAAGTAAATGAAAAGAATTCACTTCTAACTAAGGTCAATCAATTAAGCCAAATTTAGTATTTCTTTATATAAAGCAACATTTTAATTTTAGTATGCTTTCAAAATTAATGCCAATCATAAATACACCTTTTTTTTTTTTTTTGTATTTACTAAAGACTTTCTTAGAAAGGAAACAGATTGCTTCAAATATTACATTTATAGACCAGCAGTCCCTGGGTTATGAACGAAATCAGTTCCTAAGTGTATCTGTAAGTTGAATTTGTAGGTAAAGACAAAGTGCATACAGTTCTTACTTAGCCTTATTTTAATGCAATAAATAGCTCAGTCTTTTCAATGATTTAAAAGCTTCATGTACAGGAAGTGAAAGCGATTGTGATGAAAATTTGTCTCCTTCAATAAAGATTTCCAGTCTCAGAAACCCTTTATAGGGTCGCTATGAGTCAGAATCGACTTGAAGGCACTTAACAACAAGAACAGTGACCCTATAAGACAAAACAGAACTGTCCTATACAGTTTCCAAGGCCGTAAATCAGGGATGGTTGTTGTTAAGTGTCATTGAGTTGGTTCTGACTCATTGTGACCCTATACAGGGTTTCTGAGGAACAGCTGGTTGGGTTTGAATCATTGACCTTGTAGCTTGCAATCCAGTGCTAATTTTATACACCAGGAGTCCAAATCAGGGGCTGTTGTTGTTGTTGTTAAGTGCCGTGGAGTCCGTTCTGACACATAGCGACCTTGTACAGGGTTTCCGAGGCTGTAAATCTTTATCAGAGAAGAAAGCCTCATCTTTCTCCTGTGGAACAGCTGGTAGTTTCGAACTGCTGAACTTGAGGTTAGCAGCCCAATTTGTAACCACTATGCTACCAGAGCTCCTTAAATCAGGGGTAGGGAACCTTTTTCTGCCAAAATTTATAAAATTATTCACAGGCTGTACAAAATCATCAACTTAAAAATTAGCCTGCTATATTTGGTCAAACATTTAGTTAACTCACCTCTAATGTGATGGCTAGAACTGCAGATGCCTTGGCAGGGCCAGACCAAATGATTTCATGGGCCTTATATGGACCACAGGCTAGACATTCCCCACCCCTGTAACAGAAGCAGACCTGCCACACATTCTTCCTTGGAGCAGCTGGTAGGTTCAAACAGCCAGCTTTTTGGTTAATAGCTGAGCACTTTAGTCACTGTGACCAGAGCTCCCTACCTCAGATACACTGAATCAGAATTGACATTTTAACAAAATCCCCACCTTGCAAAATTATCAGCAGGAGGGTCAAACCAGAATGAAGCAGTTCTAAGCCCTGAAATTCACATTACATTAATAGAATAGTATTAGTTGACAAGTTGTCCAAAAGTCTGATGTTTGTAACCCAGAAACTCTCAAACACTTTAAGAGAGAAGAAAGTGATGGGAAAGCAGACAGTAAAAGCAAAGATAATGTATACTATAGTAGAAATGCCAAGAAAATACTTGGTTAAAGAACAAGACTTATCTCAAGACAATTCTACTTAAGATAAATGTTTTATTAATAAGAAAAAATTTTAGAAAAGTGAAAGTTGAAATAAATTTTAAAACACTGCATAAAATTAAAATTTGTTGTTGCTAGTAAATGCTGTCAAGTTGATTTTAACCCGTAGCGACCCTGTATAGGGATTCCAAGGAGCAAAGGGTGAGTTTGAATCACCGATCTTGTGGTTCATATTGACTTTGCAGTCCAGGGCATCACACCAGGAGTCCTATGGAACACTTCACAAATTTGCATGTTATTCTTGCACAGGGGCCATGCTAATCTCGGTATCATTCCAATTTTAGTATATGTGCTGCTGAGTCTTAATTAATTGTTGATATTAAAATTTCTAAAGATTCCTAGAAGAGAATACAACAATTATTTCTGCTGCAAGAGTCCTGGTGTGGTACTATATGATAAGCATTAGACTGCTAACTTCAAGGGCAGTGGTTCAAACCTATCAGTTGCTCCTCAGAAACCCTATACAGAGTTGGTAGGAGTCAGAACCAACTTGACGATACTGAACAACAACAATACAATATTATAAGAACTCTATCATTTATTTCTGTAAGATAAATAAAAATAATCACCCTTATTCTTGGTTTTTTAATTTAAAAAAAAATTTTCCCCCTAAAAATGCTCAGGAAGAGATGGAGGCAAAGACGATCACGTGGAGAGATGGAGCAGTTGGGGACTTTAGACGCAGAGAGGGAGAGGGGCTGTGTGCTGACGACCGGGGAGGCAGGCTTGTAGTATATACCCTTTGGTTGGTTGATGATGCAGGGAGAGGATTGTAACCATGGCAATGAAACAATATATGATAGGATGAATGTAAAACTAATGTTCTCCCATGTAAACTATCACATAATTCACATTAAAACATTAAAAAAAAAAAAAAGCTCAGGAAAATGTCAAACATCATAAGAAATAATGATTTCACCATCAGTTCTGACTCAGAAAACTTTACACCATTTGATCCTCATCTGTATCATCTAAAACTTTGAAGCAATTTTGTAATTAAATTACAACTCAAGTAATTATACTTCTGGATTTTACTCTCCAAGTATCAGTTACCCTTCAAACTCCTCCATCCTCAGTGGGCTGGAGCACAATTGAAAGTTCAACATTGCATTAAGGAAAGTATTTCATCTGATTACTTCCTAAATATATTCCACAATTTAAGAGCCTGAGACAGTGTAGCAAGTCCAACTGCAGTACCTCTTTATCCTTTAGTCCCAGCAGCAATACTTCTTCCATAAGTGTGAGGCGGATATCCTTAGAGTCTCCAGAGTCTTCACTGTCTGGATTCCTCTCTTCATTAGTGTCTTCCTTACTTTCCACTTTCTTCTCAGAGTTCTTGCCTACTTCAGTGCGACGGGTACGGTGAGTTAAAGTGGTCATTCTTATTTATTTCTGGAAAGGGTGGTAAAAGAATATCTATATGTGTGCCTATAAACATAAACACATAAATGAGGTGGATTTCAAAAAGTTTGTGGAAAAATTCTTCTCTCTTAAAGCCATTTTTCCATGGATTTTTTTGAAGCCCCCCTCATAGATATTCATACATTCATGCCAAAAATATAGTAAATAAACATTTACCAACTTAAATAGAGAAGGAAAAGGCAGAAAAAATGGATGGATAACACAATTTTTTTTTTAATCAAAAGTAAATAGCTTGTATTCCAGAGAACACTGTCAAGAGATCAAATTATAAATTCTAAAAGTCCAATAGAAATGACTATCATTTAAGTATCTTTATTTTTGTGCATAATCTATACAACCCAGGAGTGACTCTCCACACTTACAACTACTCTTTCACAAAACGGATCCCTAAGTTAAATAAAATGGAACAGAAAAAAACTGTGAGCTTCTAGCCCCAAAATGCATATACTTTATGTAGTAATTTCTATAAATATTCAATATTATATTATAAAATATAAAAGGATGAGAAAAACTAAACAGAACTACTCTTGTGTGCCATCAAGGTGATTCTGACTCAGATCCTCCCAGTAAAGGTTTCTGAGAGCAGCTGGTGGGTTTGAACTGCCAATCTTGTGGCTAGCCATCCAGTGCCTACCCTACAGCGCCACTAGACTTCCTAGTATCTATTTCTCATACACTAATGACTCATTTCATGTACTCACTTTTGGAGGTCAATCGTCTAAAGAATAGCTTTCAGAAGAGCATGTGTAGTAATTCCAAATGTCGTTGTTGTTGTTGTGTGCCATGGAGTCAATTCCGACTCATAGCGACCCTGTACAGGGTTTCCAAGGCTGTAAATCTTTACGAGAGCAGAAAGCCTCATCTTTCTCCCGCAGAACAGCTGGTAGTTTTGAACCGCTGACCTTGTAGTTAGCAGCCTGATTCGTAACCACTACGCTACTAGAACTCCTTAGTAATTCCAAATAGTCAGGAAATTTTTCATCTCCAGACCTAAGTAATCATCTTGAAAATACACATACAGCTGCCACACACACCAAAGTGTTAAGAGATTAGGAAATGCTTTCCAAACTATAAAAAAGTATGGAAGCACATGCCCTTTTATATCATACACTACAGTCATTTTAAATAAAATCTAGTCAGAAAAAATTTCACTAAATCATCTGTGATAAAATTTAATGTTAGCAAATTTTTGTTGCTGTTGTTAAGTGCCATAGAGTCAGTTCTGACCTATAGCGATCCTGTATAGGGTTTCCAAGGAAAAGCTAGTGAATCTGAACTGCCAATTTTATGGTTCAAACAGACCTTAGAGTCCAGCACATTATCGTGCAGTGCCACAACAGGAAATGCCACACCAAGAAGCACTCTTTAGATATATCTAAATGTCAGTTTTTAAAGATGATATATAATATATACTTTTAATTGTAATTGTTAAATGCCATGGAGTAGGTTCCGACTCATAGCAACTTTACATAGGTTTCTAAAGAGCATTTGGTGGGTTTGAACGGCTGACCTTGTGGTTAGTAGTCCAGTGCTTATACTACAGCACCACAAGAGTACCTTTTTTGAGGTCAGAAGAATGGCACTTCAGAGCCTCTGTGACTGGACCCCATTCTATCTTCTAGCAGTATTTCCCATTACTCCCAATTATTTGTACTGTTGTGAAGCCTGGTCTCAAACTGCCCTATACTTTCTGCCTCTGCTTCTTTATTCAAGCTGGTGTTCTCTCCCTTTTCCCTTCTCTAAATTCTACTCATTCTTCAAAGGCTCATTGAAAATCTTTGGTGAAGCCTATGTGAATATCCTTCTCTGTTATTCTTATGGACCATGATAAGAACTGGTCTCTCCTTAGACTGTATTTCCACAGAACTTCATTTATACTTACTTTCTTGGAAAGTATTTACTATATAGTCTTTATTTTGGTATGACTGTCTCTGAACTGTAAACTTCTTGAGAGCAGGGATACTATCTTCTTGGTTTATTATTCTGTTTTGTTTTGTTTTTAATGTTCTTCACAGCAATTAGCACAATTTCTTTAGCGTTATAACTGCTCAATAAATATATACTGATTAAAAGGAATACTCAAAAATGCATGTGAACATTTAAAATAGAAATACAAATGAAGTAACTTACGAAAAGATTTTTGTACAAGAATATATTTCAAATATAATTCTTGGGAGGCAGGAAGAAGAGTGAAGGTGGAAGACAACGATGAAACAGATGCTTAAGGGTGCTACTCCTATCTGATAATACGAATAAAACATACTTTAAATCTTACTCAGAAAAAATAAAGAGAATTTGAGAAATTAACTCGCCCCAGGTATTTACCAGGTTTTTTGTTTTTTTAAATCCTACTTCAAAATGCACATGGCCAAAATAGATATATAAAAATATTACAATTCCCGTGAAATAAACACTGAGGTTTTTAAATTATTACCATTATTTTGGACATGAGAAAATGTTTTTCCCCAGTTGCTTACCTGATATTATTTCTGGGTTACAGCTGGACGCAGACCACAGCTTGCGCTATATTTTATAGGGGGACACCTGTCCCCAACCCACCCCAACCCACCCCGCCCCGCCCAGATCCTAGTGGGTGAAAAACTTCTCAGCCACGTAGAGAACACAAACTTCCTGATCCTTCGATGAAGAGAAGGAATAACACATCAGCTTCCTCAGAATCACTAGGCAACCTACCTTGGTGTTTCTTCATTGGGCCAATCAGAAACCACCAAGATTGAGTCCAGCCAATCGGAGCTTATGAGGGGAGGCTCTCCCCTGGCTATTGTATTGCGATCCAGACAAACACCACCAAACGGAGGCAGGTTTGGGTTCAACCTGACAGCTGGTCAATCCAATGAAGGAACCTTGGTTGAAGAAAGAGAAGAGGGCTGCCCTCCCCACCCCCATAAAACCGGCCAATCAAAGCGTCCAGTGAGCTAACAAGAGTTATCCATTTACAAAGACGTCTGTTGATCAACCTCCGTGTAGCAGGTGTGTTACGATAGCATTATATACTGGGACAATTAGGTGAGATACGTTGGATTCCAAGCAATAATCCAGAGAATAAATAAACATTTAAATATTTTCCAGACAGTAAGCGTATCCCTTATTTCCTATTCCAGAAAAACCTGATGGGTCAGTTGGCGGACATTTATTTGGTTTACATTAACCGTTTATCTGGGTATATTTCTACCATGGCATACACATCAACATTCAGTACAGCGCTTATTATTAACAAAGCCACGGACAATGTGTTTTTAGAATATAGCTGCTGCGAATGCAAGCGGCAAACTTGTTTTTTTCTAAAGCAAAGGAACTGAGTAAGGCCCAGATAACCACTTAAAAGCACAGTATTTCACAGTACTATTTCAAAATTCTAGGAAGTGTCCTCAACTCTTGCAAAGTAACAGCTACTGAAATGATCTAAAAATTATTTAGAGCCTAAACGTTTTCTGCTAATTAAATAAAAATTAGAAGACAAGAGCCTACGTTATGTGTAATATTTTATTTATACTGCTAAAAATGCTAGATTTTAAAAATCTGTCATATTTTTTCCTGTAGTAAAAAGTGTCAAAAAAGGTAACACACCAATATTTTTATTGCACATAATGCATTATCATTTTAATACACTATTATTAAAGTACCAGAAGAACATTGTTTTAGTAACAAACAATACAATGGCAAACTTAGCTAATTAAAATAGTCTAGTTTTAATATAAGTACAAAGTGAATCCCTACCAAATTTTAATAGCATAAACATTATTTGTTTTAAAAAAATGGCTTTAGAGAGCCCTTAAAGTTAATATAAGCTTAAAGACAACGTCCATCAAAATGGAAGACAGATTAATACTAAGTAGACAGTGAACGAAATCAATTATGACATTGGTGCTTTTGATCTTACTGAAATTTTTTCTTGGATTTATGTCAGATAAGATTAAGTACTACAACATGACAGTCAGCTAAGAACTTCATTTTAGTGTATGAACTGCTTAAGACTACATATAAATTTTCAGAGGTATGGAAAACACACCAGTGTCCTTTAGTTATTGTTGAGAAAAACTTTGCAAATGTGAAGACAATAAAATAATTTTTATATATGTTCCTTTGGTTCACTAAACTTTCTCCTTTTTGGTACTGAGTCTTGACTAGAAGAATCAAAATGATGAAGGACCTGTTGAAAGAAAACACCACCTTAGATACTTATATACTTTCCAGTTTAAATGTATTTCATTTAAAACCTTTTTTTCATTTTTCTAAGGTTTCTTTATCATTATTATGAATAGCAGAACTATTTCTTACTAAGGTAAGAATGTCTGGATTCTTTAAACATAGTGTAAATTTATTAAAATATTTACATCTTCCAATGGTTGTTGAAAAAATATTTTTTCAAAATATAAGGTCTTTATTAGGCCTGTTGGAATAGTTACAAAATAGATTTAACATTATATCCTCACAATATTCAAATATTTGGGGAGTATAAGAAAGGGAAAAATATTTTAAAATGCACTACAAATAGAAAAGCACACTACTTTGACACCAGGCAAGACTTAAGTCATGTCTTTCTTGTTTGGTGCTCAGAAGTAACTGATGGATACTAAAAATTTAATGCACATTTCTGAATGAATGGGAGGATGAATTGTTGTTGTTGTTAGGTGCCATCAAGTCAGTACTGATTCATAGCAACCCTACGCACAACAGAACAAAACACTGCGTGGTCCTGGGCCAACCTCACAATTGTTGCCATGCTTGAGCCCACTGATGCCGCCAATTTGCCAATCCATTTTGCTGGGGGTCTTCCTCTTTTTCTCTGACCCTCCACCTTACCAAACATGGTATCCCTCTCCAGTGACTGGTCCCTCCGGACAATATGTCCGAAGTATAACAGACCAAGTCTGGCCATCCTGGCCTCCAAGGCGCATTCAAGCTGTACTTCTTCCAGACAGATCTGTTGATTCTTTTGGCAGCCCATGGTACTTTCAATATTCTCCTCCAACACCATAACTCAAAAGCATCAATTCTT